CAGGCGACCTCATATTCTTTCCACAATTCATGTTGGCAATATTTTTTCTGTGAAGGTAAGTCGACAAATTCTTATTTAGGATGAGATATGAGGCTAATAATTGTCCAAGAGTCTAAAAGTATTAACAGAGTACTGTTTGAAGTAAATGTTTCTATAAGATTTTTATACGTAAAGAATGAAATAAGTATGAAAAAGTTTGAATCATTTACTAAATATTCGATAGTGTAAACGTAGAGTATGGAACATATTAAACAAGGTGTAGAGATGAAGAAAAAAAGTAGATCAGGCGCCAAACGTTTTTTGTAAATACGCCTATTTTGACATAAAAGTATTTTTCATGTCGTAGATTTGACGTCATACGTTGATTTTTTTGATACCGACATTTAAAAGATCGAGGAATGCCGTATGCATGATCAAATTTCAGTAAGTTACACCAATTTCTTTTAGGAAAAACATGTTTTTTATATTTTTAATATTTTGTTTAAAAAACTATATTTTGCTCGTTTTTATTTCTATAGTTTTATTCAAGCAAAATTTTTGAGTTACGGTCGTGAGAAATACAAAGTATAATAATATTATTTACTTCAACCACAAATTTATCCAAAATGTAAAAAGTTACAGTAAAAATTAAAATAGGTGTTCAAATTGGGGACCGTTGACATGCTGAGATGAGCAAGGCCAATTTCAATTTTTTTCACTTGCTAACACTTGAGAGATTTCTTGCGTTATTCTAACCTTCACATAGCAGTATTACTTGGTCATATACTTTTAAAAAATATATGGGTAGGTTGGGTCAAAGTAGGTAGACGTAAACTTTAGATTTTAGTTATCCATTTGTTTGGAAAAATTAAATTTAAATAAATTCGATACTGTCGCTGTTTAGTGGGTTAAAACTCACTAAGAAGCTACTTTCAAGTTATTACGAATAGAATACAACGAATCATACAACGCCTGACTCATGAGTATAGCGATTAAAGAATAAAATTGGAAGTAAGAAGCTTCTTAGGGAAATTATTTATGCCGCTAATTCAGCAATTATCTTATGCTTTAAGCGCTATGCGTTATTTCTTATTCATGGTGTATAAACCCAGCATAGGTGACCAGCAGTAATGATGATGCGTTGAAATTTAAGTGATTTTGAATCAGAATTTTTAACTAGTCCCCATAACTTTTCGATCTGTTACAGATGGATATACTATTACCTGCAAATGTCGAATGTTATATATATAGTAATATAGAATATTACATTTGCAATGGAAACATTAGTGGATTTTAAAGAATACATATTATGTGATATGGACATTTTTTATCGAGAAACTAATTAATTATTAATTTTTTCTATATGTAATGCTCTTAAATATTTTGTCTGTGTAATGTTTTATGGTCAAGTTTACTTCTTTCGTTGTGTAATACCTTTTACCTACGACCACTACTGAAAGTAGTATAAAACACACTACCTACCATCTAAGTAAGTTCCATTTTACGCAATGTAAACCAAACGCACGGTTAACCATACGCGCATTTCTGTCATCATTCATCACAATATAAACATTGTAACTTACTCTACTAATACTCTACTAAATACTTACTCTACTGAGAAGTGAATCTGATGGTTTTAAGGCAAGAAGTGCAATATTTTGTCCTCAAACAACATTAAAACTTATCGGTAAAATGTACTTTATTGAATATTTGTTGACCTACGACCACTACTGAAAGTACTATAAGCCACACTTCCTACCATCTAAGTAAGTTATTTTACGCATTATAAATTAAGTGCACGGTAAACCAAACGCATAGTTCTGTCATCATTCATCACAATATAAACTTGTATCTTGTATTAAAAAATACTTACCCTGCTGAAAAGTGAGTCTGATGGTTTAAAAACAAGAAGTCCGATATTTTGTCCGCAAACAACATTAAAACTTTACGCAAAAATGTACCTTATTGAATATTTGTTTATGACCGAAACTGATATATTTAAAAATATTCAAAAGTATATAAAACATTTTCTTTCAGTTTAAGTAAGTTATTTCGGTCGTAGGTAAAGTATAGTACATAATTCGAGTTGTAACGCAATTACGTACTCATGGAATTACGCACTCGCCGCCTCGTGGCATCGTGAGCAACTTTTCCATTCGTACGTATAGTGCTTCTTACAGCTCTTATTATATAATATATTATTACACTCAATTGTAATATAAAGTAAATATATATTATGTCGATACCGTATATCATGATTTGACATCAACTTGCAGTTTTTGGGAGTAAACAATAGTATGATTGCCAGTTCTGCCGGCGATGGTAAAGTATCCGTTCAGGAACTGAGAGGGTCTCAAATTTTACATTGTATCTGTCATAAAAGTAGAGTGAAAAGACTGGCCACCTGTCCTGTAGTTTCTACGATGTTTTGGTCCGCTTCCGAAGATTCTAAAGTTATGTAAGCAATTGTAACGACATATATTTTTGTAAATATGTTATAATCATTTTTCAGACAATATGATTTAAGGCAACCACATATATGCACGTCGCAAACAGCCAATTTATTTCTCAGTTTTGGATCTCATTGCGAAATCAAATGTATAGCTGTAAATCCGACGAAGCCTCATTACATAGCTGTAGGTTGCAACGATGCCTATGTTAGAATTTATGATAGGCGGAAAATAAAAACTTGTATATTGTCTGAGGTAAGGTACTAAAGTAAAATTGTATAATTATGGAAAACATTTGTAATTATCCGGAGTAATTTCACGGCAGTTCAAAGATTATCTATGGTTTTCATCCAAGCTTGTTCATATTGCATTGCTTTTGTCGAGCAATCCTGAATACCATTTATTAATTTACTTTTTGAATAATGTGCTGATAAGGCTACGTTTTGAATGTAAGTGAAGGATAGCAATAAGTATGTAGTATTAATTTGTTTTAAGAAAACTGACTCGCAAATGAATTGTTTGATAAATGATTATCTTGATCATCGAGAGCTGGGACACATTTGAGTTGCCGTGGCAGAGTAGGTTTCGTTTCTTATTCTTGTAGGAGTATTGTTTGACAAACTGCGAGACTTTTAGTTCTAAGACTGAGAAATAAAATCTCAAAGAATAAATGTGCCATAGTCTGCATTATCGAGATGCTGTCATTGTGAAATATTCGCTTTGTTTCAGATCAATCATAGCATATCCGAATATACATACCCTTCAAGCAGTACATTGACTGATCCCAATGTCGTGCAATATTATGCCCCTGGACATATAGCTATTGACAATGCAGATATTAGTAGCATTCGGCATGCAGTAACGTATATTGAATTCAACTCTGCCGGATCTGAGATGTTAGTCAACATGGGCGGAGAGCATCTTTATTTATTTAATATTGAAAACGTCAAGCCCGTAAGTGAAATTAGGTTTCCATCGTTGTCAAGAAGTAGAACTAAATACAAGACGTTCCAATGCAAATGTAAGCCGGTAAGTGTTTTTACTTGACATAATTATTTCCGCTAATGAGATATGAGAGATGAGATAGGGGCTTGTTTTTATGAGATAATTGCACACTTCATTCAACGAAAAGTGGTTGGAAACCGAATTTTTCCCAGAAACACAACTAAAAATAGTTAATTTTTGTTAATTATTTTTAACTTTGATTGGCCCAAGCGGGTTAATTACCGAACTACTCTTTTGAGTCGAATTGATTTTACATACATGGGATCGTACAAACATTTAATAAAATTAAGTATTTCGGAATGTTTATTGATAAAAATACTCAATCTATTACTTGGGGTTTATCACTTTTACGTTAGGAGAAGATAAAACAATCCTAATCTAGCACCCGTTTTCTTTTAAGGAGGAATGTAGTAGTTACAATCAACAAATTTATAGCGGAGAGCTTAGTCCATCAAAAGACTTGTGCGCATGTTTTTATATGAGACGAGGTTACCATTCATATAAAAGAAGGTGGTAAGTAATTTTTGCTGTTCTTAACTAATAAGTGAATGTCCAAAATAAATAATTTTCAAATCATAAATTTATGGTCAAATAAATCGGATAGATAAACTAATTTCTCTTGATCCCCTGGTGGAAAGTACGTAGTTTCGCGACAGTTTTCAATAGTGAAAGAATTATTTTTTTCAATTTCAATAACATGACAATGACAATTTACCCTTCCTCCCATTATTCAATAAAATTTTCTTCATCCTGTGTCACTGACTGTCAGCTAACTGTTTTGATAACATTTTGAAACCCTTTTTTTAAAATTTTTCAACTTTTTCCGGCTAGAGGATCAAGAAATATGGTATACGGTACGCGACGCGAAAGTCGAAGGCCCGCTAGTGTAAAATAACTGCTTGACTTGTATATGGTCCAACTTTCGCTCCAGATCGACGATAGTGTCGCAAAACTAAATCTAATGATCGCTGTTCTGCCCAATCGAGAACGAGAGCCAAGAGACTGATGCAAACCCCCAGAAAAGGGACAATATTTGAATGGCGTAAGCTCAGTAGAATATTCAACTCTTGTCTGGCAGTACAATTTGCTTTACAAGCATACTGCAGTGGATCTCAATCCCATTTTCCTTGAGCCACTTTGTAAGCTAAAATGGTCGATTGGCGAGCGTTTGGTCATGGTTGGACGGGTTGGAGCATCGTCATCGCAAAATCGATAACGTTATTCGACCCTCTCACTTTACAAACACCTTTGAATACAAGGCCGAACGCTCCACGACCTGGTATTTTGCCGTTCTTAATACTTTCCAGTTTTATTATGGATTTCTCGCCAAGATCAAGAAACATCTGAAAAGTGTAACAGTACACTATAAAACTGTTACCGACGCAAATGCCTTAAGTGTTTCTTATTTCTGGCATTTCATCAAATAAAGCATGTGATTACCAACTACCATAATGCTCATTACTGGGCCGAGGAAAATCCCCGCTTAACGTCGAACCGTAATTATCAAAGACGGTTCAGTGCTGATGTTCGGTGTGGTGTAACAAACGATTAAATAATCGGGTCACATTTTCTGTCAGATATCTTAATGGGCAAAGATAGGGCGTCTTTCTTATTAACCACCTGCCACCTCTACTGGAAAATGTGCCGCTAAATATTCGTCAGAACCTGATCTTCGAGCATGACGGATGTCCAGCACATTATCGACAAACTGTAAGGTAGTACTTTGATCAGCGTTTTCCGAATCGGTGGATGGGGATAGAAGGGGAGATGAAAAAAAAGGAGACTTCGTTTTGAGCAAGATCTTAAATAGTTACTGTTTAGAATTAATAAACAACGCCTTTGTCGTGTGTTAAACAAAAGTTATATTCCGTTAAACAGTTTTAGATTGAAGTCCACATCGTTAACATCCTGTACAATGCATTGATATTTTGGTTCAATAGAATTCTTAACGGATCTGTGGTGATTGGAAAGACGTATTTTTTTGTATCTCTAACTGCTTTTTTTTTTGCTTCTACAATTAATTTTTAGATACCATGTTTTTAAGCAAAATTTTACTAAAGTGGCGATAATCTGCTAACGTCGCACGTAAGAAAAAAACAATTTACGGTGCATATGCAGCGTTTCAAGCTCCATTCCATGAGCTAATGAAAAATGGGTAGTATTATTTAAAAAAATACACTTTGATCTTGCCTCGCTTTTCTGAGGCACGCTGTATCATATAAGATATTTTTATAATGTGCGCACTTTGGGTGTCAACAACTTTTATATGAAACTATTTTTAGAAAGTTCAACACCATCGGAAATAATGGACTCTATGGCACTAAAAAATCACCCTGTGTATATATGTGTCGGAAACTATGAAAACTATTGTTAAGAGAGCAGGTAGAAAAGTCTCGGTTTTGGTGACTCTTGACAGTTTAGACAAGTTTCAGTTTTGATTTCACAAGCTGCTTTGGTGTACAACCTCTTGATGAGATGTCGGCAGGATTTGTTTATTCCGGGAATGTGATGCCACTGATTTGCACATGTCAAACCCCGTATTTCTCGCACCCTGTTCGAAACAAAAGCTCCCCATTCTTCACGTCGCTTTATCCAAGAAATTACAGAAGGTATGAATGCTCAAGTTTTCGGATTTACCATCACCAGCCAGTATCCAACGAGGAATCTCAATCGTTAACAACCAATATATTTCTTTCATCCAGGATTTAAATCCTTGGGTTAAATCTTCTCCAACTGGTTGGTCCCAGGTCATATTTTTCGTCCACAGTTTCTGCTATATCAGTTTAGGAAGTAGAGTCGACGGGCATGTGTATCCAATTGGATCAAATATTTTTTGTGTAATAGATAAAATTAACCTTTTTGTAACGATCATCTCGTCCAAATCGACGTAATTTTGTCAAAAGTGTCTATTTAGAGATAATACATCTCTCTGGGGGCACCAACTCAAACCAAGTACTGAGACAGATTGGGTGATTAATTCAGCATTAGATTCTCTTCTTTGGGTTTGCTCCCACCCTCTTAAGTCGAAACAGCCTTCTTTCATTGACGTAATTGACTCTTCTATAAATCTGTGTACTGATCATTCCGTTAAATGAAAATCTATATTCATGGCTAAGAGGAAAGAGCTACTGTTTATTCCGAAAACTACACGTCTGTGTCTTAGAACAATATCTTGATCCCGATCATTTTTCTAAATAAATTTCAGAAAATCTCTATCATTTTGCAAAAACGCCTTTTTGATATCGGCTACCACACCTATTCGGTTTTCTCGAAAACGCAGCAATATTGATGGAACCAGTTCTATCAAGTTAGGGCCTTTTTCCAGACAACGGTTCAGAGATGGTTTCCCCTTTTCGTGCGCTGAAGCATCGAACACAGGTCGTATTTTCGTTGTACCACTTTCCTTAATTACAGGCCGATGAGGTAAATAATGTCCTTGATTTAAGTCATCGGATTCCAGGGATTCAATAATCTTCTCATCCATCCATTCTTCAAACACTTCATTGTATTTTACAAATTGATCATTGTCTTTTAAGCGATGTACGGTAGTATTTAATCGTTTCATAGCCATATTGTAGTAACTTGGAAGTGCAGGGTGGTCCTTCAACCAAGGAAGTCGAACTTCATAACGCCCTTCTTGATCCGTAATTATGGTTTGCCGAAAAAAATCTTTGGCTGCCATTTCAGTTTCTTCCCTGTTCTGTTTCTCAATAGGATCTTGGATACCCAAAACGTCTAGTTCCCATAAATTACAGATTTGAGCATCCTTGACAAGCTGATTCAATGTAGTTACTACTGTATCAGAGCGTGATTGACAATCTGGTACTTTTCCCTTAAATGTCCATCCAAAATGAGTTTCCCTCACCCTTTTTTTCGAAGAAAGTTTTTTCTGCCAATCCAAAACCCTCCGCTGCTAGAACCAATCGCTGTTCATTATCTATCTCTTGTTTGAGGAAAGCCATCAATTGCCTTAACTTTATTTCACTGGACTTTCAATCACCTGGACGTTCACTTGAGTCAATTGTGATAAACAATGTGGAACGTTGCCAAACTCTGAGTAACTCATGTGGCAAACAAGATTCAATAAGAGGAAAAAGCATAGCAGCATATTTATCAGAAGTAATTTCTAAAGTGTCTAATGCCCGTAACTGTGTTTCTAAACTATCATACAATACGGACACATCCAGTTTTCTCTAGAAGCTGAATTTGATAAAACGAGTTTCAATAGTCCTCTTACATATACCTTAATCTGCAAATCCTCACGACCAAATCTGTGCTGCATGCTCTGTATAATTTTATTATAGTTTTCCCCCATAGCAGGGTAACTTTCGACGAGTTGTCTTGCTCTACTAACGCTCACTGTAGCTTGAATGAGGTACTCTATTTTATCATTTGGGTCGATGAACGGATCTTCATGCACTTTCTTGAACTGGGCCCAAAAGGCTAGCCAATCTTTGATACTTCCATCATAATGTTTAAATTTTATAGTAGGTAACTTAAATTTTCTCATACCTGTATGCTCTGCTGACTCTAAACTTCCTGCTGTGGATGCGGATCTTGCATAGGGTTCCCTGTCTTGTGGTATCCTGGAAGCACCATCAAGCTTTTCCCACCTTGACCGCAATGCGTTGAATCTTCTAAAGTAAACTTCACGACTTTCCAGTTCATCTTCTGTCGCGTATTCCAGCAATAACTCAAAGAGTTCGCGGTCCAATACCTTTAGTTCGTCATATTTACCTTATTTTATTTATTTTTCCCGACGATCCGAACACTTAAAAGATTCAAAATCCGGAAAAAACCAGTGAAAGTCCTGTCACGGTCGCCAATAATGTCGCGCTCACAAAAGGCTACCCGCTGTTTGCGCTACGACGGTTCTTTCATGAAGTAAAAAATAATTTACATTTCTCTTATGATAACATACTTTTGGAGCAATTCTTCGACGGTAATTTCTTGGACAAAGCGACGTGAAGAATGGGGAGCTTTTGTTTCGAACAGGGTGCGAGAAATACGGGGTTTGACATGTGCAAATCAGTGGCATCACATTCCCAGAATACAAAATTGTGCCGACCTCTCATCAAGAGGATGTACACCAAAGCAGCTTGTGAAATCAAAATGGTGGGAGGGACCTGATTTACTGACGGACCTGGTTATACGAAAGCAAAGAATGTTGGCCAATAGAAGATATAACACCAAACGAAGTAGAAATTGGGGTAGAACAAAAAAGAAAATTGAATGTCGCACTGGTCAACATCGAGACTACTGATTTTTGGCATTTGATCCATTTTAGCAGCTTCTACAAAACAGGACAAGGATAGTCGCGTGGATACGTAGGTACATTCACAACTTAAAAGCTCAAGAAGTTAAATTAAAAAGTGAGCTGACAGTAGAAGAGTTAGAGAATGCTGAAACGTTTATTTTTGAAATCATACAAAGAGAAAGTTTTTCTGG